CTCCTGGCCTTACTACTAGGAACAAGAAGCTACTAGGGGCTCCTGGCTTCCTGTTCATGACTTCGTTTTACAATTTTTTGCGTCCCAGGCCGTCCTATGTACTGCCTTTGTGTTCCCCACCGGACCGCACATGCGCAGCGCGCCGAATCGTTCTTTGGGGCGTTCGGTGTGCCAAACGGCTAAGGGACTCGGACTGGGTCATGAGAAAATAGAGCGCATCTGTAGCTTAGTGATTCAGTAGGGGCAAAGTAAACGAAATGTCAAAATGTATTTGGCCCCATGGAGGCCATCGCTAGCAGGTTGGAGGCCATCCCTAGTGTTGGAGCGCATCGCTCTTAGGTTAGAGGCCATCGCCCTTAGAAACAACTAAAAAGCAACTGGAAGAAAAGTCTAAACACATGTCGAACAGACCGTTTTTGGCCCCATGGTCCCTCGTCCCAAGAGGCTGTGAGGATCGGCACCACATGGTCCAAGGGCAAGAAGTTCACGTGGACGTCGGATGAGTCGTAGCCACAAAACTGGGCCTCCCCCTGAATGTGCGCAACAACTCCTCGACAGGTTTGATGCTTTGGACGTTTTGGAAGACAAAAAGATGTTGAAATGTACAACGCTTATTGAAGACATGATTTCATACACATCATCATTAGCTACATGATTGTAGATTTGCAGTTGGAACTCCTCTGTGGGCAATTTGAATGCACTTCGGAATGCCAGTGGAACCGCTGCTCAACCTGTGACGGAGCATCAAGGCCCAAGACTCAGAGCTCAAAACGTATACTGTTCTGATCAATGACCATTGCAGAGCAAGATGCTGGCAGAACGCGACATCATTTGGTTGTGCACTCCAGTTGCTCAGCTCACGATGCCCACTCCTCAAAGCAAACAGTGGAGAACACCTGAAGGACCACTAGTAGCGATGCACTTGTTGCTAGTAGCTTCTTGCTACTAGTAGTAAGGCACTTCTTACTAGTAGTAAGGCACTTGTTACTAGTAGCGATGCGCTTGTTACTAGTAGCACAAAGCCAATTCAATAGTCGTGCCATGTCGTGCCATTGAGCGTGCTATGCGCTCTTCTTGCAATACCATGCCCTCTGCAGCCTATGCATTATAAGCGATAAGCCTTGCGCAGCCTTCTCTTTCAAAAAACGTCTGCTGTGTCTTTCAATTTCCTAACTTGTTTCTCCCAGTCGCTGAGTCGCTGCGGCAAGCAACCTTGGGCACAAACACGGCTTTTCACATATTGGCAAATTGCCGCATCTTTTAACATGCCACTAGGTGCAGGACAGGTACATCTATAGATCTATGTACATCAACATGTTCTCATGGCTTTCATAATTTGGTCGGAGGTACTCCTCTCGTGAGATCACGCATATCAACTCCATAAGATTCAGCTGCTTCAGCTTCCCCACGTTGGCGACCGTGGTGATAATAGGAGGCTGCTCCAAAAGAGTCCAAACGTTGCACAGCTTATTACACACGGCATGGCCTGCGTCTGAGTAGTCCTCAGATTTCACCCAGTCAAAACACGTTCCGAGGTTCGATTCGCATCCAGCGACGGCCTCCAACCTAAGAGCGATGGCCCCCAACCTACTAGCAATGGCCACCAATTTCAATCTTATAGACTGCCTTAAAATCGGATGAGGAAAATGACAAAATACAGCACACGCTGGGTGAAACCACGTGTTTTGCAGTGGCCGCTGCCAAGCAACTGGAGGAATCGCCACTGTGACTGGCTTGGTGCCCGAGAGCAAACAACCCCAAAAGCACTCAAAGTGTTCACGAAGAACTGGCACCTGCCACAAGTTCGCTTAAAGCTCTGAACCAAGACCGAACCCAAGAGTGAGTATATATATATATATGTATACCCCGTTATGTACCTGGTCCGGATGGACGGAAACGCATGCCGATGCCGCGGCACACGTGCGACATATGATGTCTCTTTCTCTCTCTCTTTTTTGGCCATCTGTGCACGTCGCATGCCGAAGGGCCGACGCAGGCGGCTGCCGAAGCGGTTCGTGCGGTTGGTGTCTGAGGCCTGGAGAAGTGAAAAGGAAGTGCTGCTCGGAGCTGCCGCGCCAATCCTTCGCGACCGACGACGGCGCTCGTCTTGTTCGTCGATCGCGAAGAGAAAAGTGACGGTGGGGCACAGTGGTCAGGGTGAAACACAGAATAGGACCAGCAAATTTCAAGGACATCACAATGAACAACACGCGTCATGACGGCAACGCTGAAACTGGACTGAAGATTGCCGCAAGATGTCCTCATAGAGCAGAGCCCTGCGGCTATCTGGCGTGCGTGTCTCAGAAGCTCTTTATAGGTCAAACGCTGCCTCACTCCACTTGCATCGTAAATCGTTAAGCCTTTGGCTTTTCCGACTCCCGTCGCTGTTGCTTCGAGCGCCGCGGTCAAGGTCAGCGGAGAGTCGGCACGGAGCCGAAGCGGCCCTTCTGGGTGCAAACGAGCGGAAGCATGACACGTCGCCGTTGAACAGCAAAACGTGGAATTAAAAACCGCATGTTTTACACATCTTGTTGAAAAAAAACATCTCTCTCTCTCTCTCTTTCGGAACTTCTCTCGCCCAATCTTGCGAAATCAACTATAGCCCTTCCGACCTCCAGAGCTGAATGCAAGCCTCTGCGGTGAGACCTGCACGTCTGGGATTGCATCGGAGGCTGCGTTCGCAACATTCACCTTTTTCTCAACCAGGACTTCCAGCTGGTGCTCTGAAATGAAGGCATCCAAATCAAAACCTCCTCGATCTGGCACATCCTGCATAAACATTTTGAGCATGGCAAAATGGCGTTTCCGTATCAACTGTAATTATGCCAAAACTTGTGTAAGCAATCGGCAAAGCTTGTTGGTTGAAGTTTCACCGAAACCGAAACTGACCGAAAGGGACAACATCGTGCAATCCAAACACGTCCAAACACCTATCACCCATGCCGCTGACGCAGGGAAGGCGTCAGGAACTCAAGCCTCCGCACCAACCATATCTTTTCACACCAGCACCAATATCCGTATATCACACACATTCCTCCACAAATCACATTCCGGGGCGGCATTTCTCATCCAAACGTCCCGCAATGAGATGGAGTGAACATATCGTCGGAATATAACGTATGCTAAAACACGCTGAAATCAGCAATTGAGTTCTTGAGTGACAATGACCTCTGGGCAGGCCTTCAGCTGAAGGCTGCGCACGCGCTGTTTCAAAAGTGCTATTCTGAAACCGTGAACCTTGACCGGGTCAAAGCCACTTGGAAAGGCCTCATACGGCACGACTTCCTGCGAAGCTGCCAAGCACTCAAGTGGTTTATCATCTTCGTGGTGGACAGTTTATGGCAAATCAAAAAATTGCCCTATCCGACTGCACTCTCGTTTCAAGAAAACAATACCCACATGTGCGCCATCAGAACGGGCACACAAACATCTGCTCAAGCAGGCATCAAGCCTATAGTTATTATATATATATATATCTATCTATATGTACATGTGTATATACATATATAATCCCGGGCTCAAACCTACAACCACACTTAGTACCACCGGACTCACGGGTAAGTGTTCTTCCCCACCTGTCAGGTGAGGGTTGTTAGATTTTATGTCAGCTGCCGTCCTCCTCCTCCGCCTGCTCCTCCGGACCCCAACCCTGTGGACGATTCTCAGAAACAGATTCTCAGAAACGTTCCTCCAATGGAAGCCCCTACAGTTGGACTCTCTGGGACTCTAAAGAAAAGAGGCGCAGGCCGAGCCGCAGCCAGCCAAAATGCCTAACGTCGCCTGGCCTGGCCCAGTTGCCTGGCAGCTGAGTCAGAGGTGTGCGTAGAAGACTGCCCAAATCGGGCTGGCGTTGGCCAGTGCCAGCAGGGGGGTTTCCGGGGTAGCAAACGACACCAGCTATTTCTGCCCACAAAAGCGGTCGGAACGGGGGGGGTGCAGCCAGCCAAAGTGCCTAATCCTTCGGGACCCTAAAGAAAAGAGGCGCAGGCCCACCCGCAGCCAGCCAAAATGCCTAACGTCGCCTGGCCTGGCCAGTTGCCTGGCAGCTGAGTAGAAACGCAGCCGTCGACGCACTTGCTTGGGCAGAGAAAGGCAGCGGCACCACGGCGAAACGCTCTGGATCTGCTTGGCCTGGGCAACTGTTTCACCCTGCGGTGTCCCCGGCGCCGCCCCGCCTAGGCGTCAGCCAGGCAGGGGTCGGCGGATAATCCGATTGATTTGTTTCCTTTGACTTTGACCAGTGAAAGTCTAAACTTAATAACCAATGGCTCTAGCAAGGGAAAATGTAAACGCAATGCTTGTTCTTGCTTAGAAATAAGAGAAGTTGAAAACAGAAGCAATGAAATATGGTGAGGTGGTTTCATCAAAATAACCACCTATAGAATTACCTAGAGAACCAAGTCGCAAAGAAAAAGTGGGAACTGACAAAAGTTACCATTATTGGGTTTCCGAGGTTTTTGAGTTTGACTCACAACCCTGCCCCGCGCCCAGACCTTCCCTGAAAACCAGCAAAAAAAA